AAACGGGTATACAGCTACTATCTATAATGAATATATATCTAGTATATACTTTTTAACTGAATAATGATATTGGCGAACATGAAATATTTTTTATCGAAAATGAAATTTATTTGGCTCAAATGAAATGCCAATTGGCGTAAAAGTAAAGTATCGATTTTATTCCTTTTCATTAAAGGAGACGGAAAGGAAATTATAATGCAATCGATTACAGAAACTTTAAACTTATTAAAACAGTAATAAATCATATTTACCAGTAAAAAGAATGGCAGATAGTTATTTGTAGATTTGAATGATGATTTTTTTTTTCAATTTCATACCCACATAGACAATCATATATCATGCAATACACAATTTTTATACATCTTTGGTTTTCCAATATTCGGCTTTGAGCGTTCCAGATGGAGGTAAATCCAGAAATAAAATACGCTTTGGACACATGACATTTATAAAAGTATTGTTTTTAAGTTTTAAGCACTGGATCGATAATATCATCAGCTCAGTATTCAGCACTATTTATAACAAAAGTTTCTTACACTCTCCGTTTTTCAATTTAGAAATTTAAAAAAAAAGGTTTCAACTCCACCAGCCAAAATTGACCTAGGATGAATTTGGCTAATTTTTGTTAATAGCTCTTCAACTGTATCGGCTCTTAAATATCATTGGCTTAAAAATATTTGGCTTTGAACCTTCGTGGTGAAGGTAAGTAAAAAAACGGGTTCGGACGCATGCACTTTATAAAGTGTTGTTTTTGTTATTTGTTGGTTACTAAAAACTTATTCTTACTTCGATGCTTTGGAAATATGGATACGAAAATGCAAGCTTTGATGTAAAACACAGTTTGTGCTCTACAATATTGAGTAATTCTGTAAGAATTGAAATCTTTTTATACTGTGCTTACAACTATACAATGCGATATGTTTATAAAAGAAGGAATGCTCACACAATTTTATACAAAACATAATGATTGTTTGCTTTTGACGCACATTGGGTAACTTTTTATATTGAAGTGAATTATTGTAAACTGATTTGTCGACATTCTTGATGATAGTGATGCCATACAGGTTCCCCCTACGGAAAATAACAGTTTCGTGATATCTGCAACTACTAAGAAAAATAGAACCAAACTTATTTTAAACAGATTGTTTCCATTTATGCTGCAATGGAAAGAAGAAATGTAAGCTTTTGTATGATGCTGATGTTTTGGATTTAATATGCCATCTTTTTGAATTCACATATTCATATAGACCCGATAATTAATTTTACCTTATTTTTCTTTCTTTCTTTTTTTGTTTGTTGTTTATTTGATCTTGCGTTTACTTTACTCCGACCCTCAGACAAAGTTGGTCTTAGATGGATTTGGTTATTTTTTCGAGGTCCTTTTTGGTTTATAGCTCTTCAACATTTTTGGTCCTTATACATCCTTGGCTTTCAAATATTCGGCTTTGAGCGTTCCTGATGAAGGTAAATCCAGAAAAGCGCTTCAGACGCATGACATTTATAACGTGTTGTTTTCATTTTTTATTGTTATGTTTTACCATTATTTTTGGTTGTTCTGTTATTGTTTCTTGTTTGTCTGGTTGGTTGGTGTTTTGTTTTGTTTTGTTTTTTATTAGGGTTTAGGGAAGGAGGGGGGTTTCTACAAGGTTCCAATCTATTTCACAATAATTTCCTATAAATTTTATTAATTTAATAAAAGATGATTACAAGTCTTCATTTCATGTAAAGTTTTTTTAAACAATAAACCTCATTTGTAGTTATGCATTTTGATGGTTCTGATATGTAAACTTCATTACTCCATGGGTTTTTATTCACTTTTTCGTTATGGCATGATCGTCAGTTTGCCAAAAAAAAATTAGATTAACCCGGTGCTAGGCTGTCTTAAACTTGCAGTGAGGTGAGAGATTGTATGCTCCGTGTTGAAGGCCTGACTATGACTTTGAGATAAAGAACAGTTATAAAAGCTATTTTGGGTTTTTTTGCTTTACATGTACTGATTGTGTCTCATGGATAGATACCCCTTATCCTGTCTTTTCTATGAAACTAGAGACTAGTCATTTGCAACCTAAAAGGGATAAGAGGAACATAAGAAAGGCCTTGAAAATTTTGGGAATAGAAAGGGGGAGTCCAATTTTTCAATACTTGAGATTTGGGAGGGGGGAGATGGGGGGGGGGGGGGGAGGGGGGAGGGGGATCGAAAAAATATTGACGATCTATATTTTTGTTTTTTTTGCTTTACATGTACTGATTGTGTCTCATGGATAGATACCCCTTATCCTGTCTTTTCTATGAAACTAGGGACTAGTCATTTGCAACCTAAAAGGGATAAGAGGAACATAAGAAAGGCCTTGAAAATTTTGGGAATAGAAAGGGGGAGTCCAATTTTTCAATACTTCAGATTTGGGGGGGGGGGGGTGGTGGGGGGGAGGGGGGAGGGGGATCGAAAAAATATTGACGATCTATATCCACCTCTTCCCCATACAATAAAAATTTTGGCACATCAGTTTTGTTTTTCGCCCCACTCCGACCGGCTAAATTGTTAAAATTCAAATACTTAGTTTCTACATGTTCCTAAAGTTAATTTACCAACTTCTTCAATAAAGAGTATATGTGATCAATGTGCTGAAACTGAATGAAGATATGGTAAATGTCAATGAGACCATAGCAAGCATATTCCTTTAGCCCTTTCTGGCTGTGTGGTAATATATTTCACAACTTGCTCGCTATGCCCGTGTCTGTAGTTGATTTTATATTTCAATGAATATAATTCATGTATAACTGGTAAATTAAAAGGCAGTTAATTTCATTCTTGTGTCATTTGGTCTCTTGTGGAAAGTTGTCTAATAGGTAATCATACCACATCTTCTTATTTTTATATTTATTCTTATAGGTTATCAATTTAACTCAATAGTTACATATTTAAATATAGATCTTATAGGACTACTAACATTGTTCCTGTTTTTTTGGAAAATTAAAGCATAACTGACACTACATGTTGCTATAAATGTAAAGTTTTGATAATTTATCATTCTTCATCCTGTATATACTGTTAACTTATATTTTGGAATTGCACAAGGTCATGCGTTTTTCAAACTGTTAATGACGTCTTAACAGTAACGCCGTTGGATCTGTACTGGTTGAGAAGTCAGGAGCCTGTTGTACAATGGTTTTCGATGGTTCAGGTCTGTCATACATGTATTTATTTTAAGTAAATTGTTTTGTTATAAATTTAGCCATTAGTTGTCTTGTTTGGTTTATGATTGGCCAAACCGTTTAGGAATTGGGAGCCACAAAACAAAGATTTTCTGGTTTCCGAACAATAACTTGAGTAAGTCTATGGATTTCTATGCAATTGTACCACAAGATTCCATACCGAAAAACTAAACCGTTTAGGAATTAGAACAAAAAAGGTCTTAAAACAATGCTTTTCTAAAACTTTTCATAAATTGCTAATATAAATGGCTTTTAATTCAAAGTCTTGAATTCTTAGGGTTCTTTAGTATGCCGAATCTAACAGTGCATTTAGAGTTTGGTCATCAGTTCTAAAATGGTCCACATTAAGGCCCAAAGGGTCCAAAATTAAACTTTGTGTGATTTAATCAAAACTTGAATTATGGGGGTTATTTGATATGATAATCTAACCTTGTATTTAGATGTTTTTAATTTTGTCTCCGTTTTCAAATTTGTCGACACTAAGGACCAACAGGTCAAAAATAAATTTTGGCTTAATTTTAACAAAAAAATTGATTCTTGGGATTCTTTGATATGCTGAATCTAAAAATGTTTTAAATATTTTGGGCCAATTTTCAAGTTGAACAAATCGGAGATTAAAATTAAACATTGTTTGATTTTAAAGATTTGCTTACTTTTGGATATTGGACAATTATAGGTAAGTTCTTAGACCACGCTCATTCTATGTTAAAAACCTATAATGTGTCAAATACTTATTCATGAATCTAAATTCTGGGCATCTGAGCTGTATCATCTGAGCTATACAATCTTGAATGTTGTGCCCCGACTATTCAGGGTTGAACCTCTGTGGTCGTATCAAAACTGCGCCATGCAGAGCACCAAAGGAAGTTCACTGAAGTCACAAACAACTTCCCCTACTTTAAGCTCTAGATCCATTACTGATGCAATATTCTATTGAACGATAATATTAACATAAATAGAAAATGTATGCATTTATTTTTGATATAAAAAATTAGTATTGAGAGATGTTAGGAGTGGTGAAATTTGTATGTCTTTAGAAGGGAGAGGTCTTGAATTAATGTTACTTCCTAAAGGTTGGGACTTGAAAAAAAATAAGAGAAATTTCCATGATTCCTACCATCCCCCCCAATGAAAGAAAATGGCCAGTCACCTAGTTAAAAGTATAAAAATAATTATCACTATTTCAACCTATTTTGATATGAAACACATGACTTTGGAATTCGGAATTACACGATAAGAATGTAGACAAATATTTATTTTGTTATGCACGTGTTTGTATTGCTTGTCATTTTGTCATTCTTTAGACATATTAGAATAAGGATGTAACATCGATTTGAGTTATTTTGAATATATAGTTGTATTGTGAACAATAGTTTCCCAATGTTATAAGAAGCTAAGGAACATCTTTATTCTACTATGCCTAACTACGTCAACTTCATTCATTATCGAGTAACGTCCGTTAGAATTATTTCAATAGAACACTTTTTAAGAAAGTGTCCAAGGAAATATCGAAAAGACAAAATGCCAGGATGGCGAAGATGAGCAATAGAAAATAACTCTCCATTCCTGAAAAATAATAGAGAGTTTGAACAAAAGAATTACGTCACAGATGTATTTTAAAATAGATTATATAAGAATCATTAAACATGAACATTGATATTAAACAAAAACACAAATCCTATGACATAATGCATATGTAGACATAATTATTCTTTTCATTTGTAAATGCAGCAACATGTTTCGCCGATAAAAATAAAGGCATTTCTTTTTTTTTTTTTCCAATGAAATTATATATATCCTGTGCGTTTATATGTTGAATATCATATGTAGAATATCATATGCTGGAATAGCCAAGTAAGGTAAAGCAATTGAATTTTTATTACTGTAAAAGAAACAAACATCGAATATGGAAAAAAAAGTAAGGAATTACTTTGAAATTCATATATTTCTTTGCATTTGAAATACAGATCAACTTTCCGTTTCTTTTTGTTTTTAAAGGCTTTCCAAATTAGTAAGGGACACCTCTATAAAATAAAAAGATTTGGTAAAATTGCAAATAAGACAACTTTCTGCCAGAGACAAAATAATCTCGAAGTAAGCAAATATAGGTCAGCGTACGGCTTTGAACAATGAGCAAAACCCATACCACGCATGGAGCAGACCACATTTTTCTTCTTTTTGAAGTACCACTATGTGTTTAACCTTTCTCGGGTTTTATTTGCAACTTATGTTTCGCCACTTTTCTTTGAACTAGTAACTTTAAGAACTCTAATATCGGTAGTTGTTTTAAAATCTTTTTGATAGTTCCGACACTGTATCGAGCTGATGAGTCAAGCCTTTTTCAAATACTATTTATACATTCAATAGTTTGTTCGTATTTTGTTCTGTTATACCACTGTTAGGGAGAATATTCGGTGTCTGCAAACATGTTTATCCCTGACGCATTCTGTACATACACGTCCAAAGTCAAGGCAAATCAGTTAGTGTTGCTGTATATCATTTCATTTTTTTTTATTATTGTTCAGTTTCATAAGTTTGTCATTTCGATGCCTTTAATTGAATGCTATACGGTATGGGTTTTTCTCATTGTTGTTTTTTATTCCCAAATGTCATTTAGATATTTGGAATATGAATTTGAACAGTAAAATAATTGTATACGCATTTGAAACTGACATAGTTAAGCCGATGACTTTTGTTTCTGTGAGTATTCTCCACAGGTACTGTTTTCTAGTTTCAATTGCTACTAATATCTATAAATGATTATATTATATGGACTATCATTTTTAAATAAAATAGCATAAGAAATCTTGAAGTGTTCATTATTTGTACTAAAGGATGAATCGAAGAACACAAAACATTTTCAAAAGTATTATACAAGCAGAACATAATGGTTATTTGTTCTGCAAGTATTCCGTTCGTAAAGCGTTATCAAGATTTAGATTGCTTTTGCGCCTGTCATCGGCTTCTCACTTAACATGCTCTTAAATGAATAACGCGAAATAATTTATTGAAATATCAGCAAAACTTTAAAATTCTTATTGTCAAGGATTATTCTTACAAATTTTATAACCACTTTCTTCCAACATTATAATATTTTTTTTTAACAAATTCTAAATCTATGGAATACGAATACGAATATCAGCCAGTTCATTTGTAAACATGTTTGTACATTGATTATTGTAGGATCCGGTTACCATTTGATAAAAAAAACCCAAGCAAATGCTAAACCTCTTTTGTAATCAACTTTAAAACATTTAAAAAAAGTCCTGTTTGCTAATTGTTTCCGAGCCATGATTGACTGGAAATCCGGATTTATTTGATATAATAACACGTTATGACACTATAACCTGACATAACGTTTAAATGGACATATTGTTGTACAAATTCATGTAAGGAAAGGATTAATCTGCAAACTGTCTTTATTGTGATTTGTTTTCAGCATTGTAAAACGGAAGACTTGTAGAACCACAATGAGAAATTTGTATTTTAGGAACAAAAATAAGTTACTTTCGATAAACTTTGGGTTTTGGTTGTAATTCATTTTTCAAATAAGTACTAAAATAAAATCTAATCGATCAAATTACGTGATATCAATTAATATATTGTTTTGACCGCTAATAGAAGACACCCGTTAAGTACATTTTAGTTTTTTAAAGTGAAATTATTAGATAAGGTTATGATAACGTCTACATAGATGATAGTATTGCTGATGGTTTATCAATTAACCGTACTGAATTATTACAGCAAAACAAATCAAAGGAAAAAAAAAAGAAAATATTTTGTTAATTTCAATAACTAAATATAACCCTTATATACGTAAAATAAAAACAAATAAAATAAAAAACGTATTATGAAACACCGGCAATTATTACAGTTTGACGAAGATTGTGTACAAATATTCAATGTTGCATATAGCAAATATAAAAGTGTAGGAACTATGTTTTGTAGATCAAAGTGAAAGATTTTACAGTTGGACCCCTGATGATGGCAGACCTGTCATAATATCTAGATCTATTGAGAAAAATTGAAATATAAATATATAAATATATACATGAAAAAATTTCATATTTGATTATATTAAAGTAATGCATCGTTAGATGACCATCCCTGGCTTTAACTGCCGAAACAAAAAAATAGTGTCGGGTCCTATCAGGCAATATGGGATGCGTGGTTGCATGGGTGTTTTATAATAACAAAAGGGTCCTATCAGGCAATAACAGATGCGTGCTTCCATGGGTGTTTTATTATAATAAAATGTATGCAAGGACGGCTGTCCTACTGCATCTTACTGAGAATCGTTTTCTGCTTTGAGAACGATCCGCATTTCCTGTTTGATGGGATACTGTGCTAATTTATTGTTCCGGTGGACAAAGCTTTTAGCCTTGAGTTTAAAATAGTTTATGGCCTGATTTACTTTGAAAAAATCCACAAAACATTGTGACTCATTAATACATCATCAACACGGACAATTTCGCACTTCCATCTAGTCCCCGCGTATGAACCCACGTGAATGTGGGCGGATCCTTTTTTCAAGGTTAATATCATGTGTAAACCTAGAAATTCTTCAGCCACCAAATTTGAGCTCAACAAAGGCACGTAGGCTTAAAAGCAAAAATTCCGATTCTACAATAAAAAAGAACGGAATGAATATAATATGCAGCAAAGAGCTGCACATGCAAACAAACATGTAGTTAATCTGTCAAAACGCAAATTATCAAATCAAGAATATATGCTGTTGGCGAAAGACTTGAAATTTATACCAACGCCATCAAGCAAAAATGCAAACATATCTATACTATCAGACTACAATGAATTTGCTAGAAAATGAAGACATAATAAACAGACCCCCAATTTAAGTTTATAGTGCATTATTTTCAAAGAAACCAGGATACCAATATTTTTAAATTTAAGTTTGAAAAACACATCAACTATAATTAAACACAACTAGTTTCGACTTATGAGTTTGAATTTCCCTTTGAAATCTTTTCACCTCTCTTTTTCAAAACTAAATACTAAATTCCAAATTGTCCGTAGTCTGAAACATTAATGAATATCATCAAATATACATACGAAATTAAAAAACGCAACACATCTTTTTGAGATTTGCTTTACCAAATCATGATTAATCTGCATGTAACTACTATTTATGCTTTCCAGACTTCTTTTTGTTTAAAATTTTTTTTAAAAAAATACCGACTTCAAAGGAAAATTCAAAACGGAAAGTCCCTTATCAAATGGCAAAATCAAATGCTCAAACACATCAAACGAATGGAAAACAACTGTCATATTCTTGACTTGGTACAGCCATTTCCTTATGAAGAAAATCGTGGATTAAACCTGGTTTTATAGTTAGCTAAACCTCTCACTTGTATGACATTCGCATAAAATTCCATTATATTGACAATAATGTGTGAACAAAACAAACAGACATAATACTGAACATTGTAGATTGATGACGTCAGACAAATTTCATAAGAGATATTTGAAACTCATGAATGTTATATTTAATGTTTTGTTTTCTTCGTGAATTTTTTTTTTCTATTCATGCCAACCCTTTAATCAGTAAAAGCATGTTACATTTCCATATCACTAAGACTGAGCAATGAAAATATAAATACGACCATAAGAATATTGCAGACAGGAATACATAAACGCGTGTTGTTAGGCAACTCCACGTCAGAAACTCATCGTACTGTCCTTAAAACAACAGTACAGGCAGACGGGATTGTTGATGAACCCCCATGACAGATCAATATGCAGTGAAAATGCTACGTCAATAAAAATTAATACAACGTCATTTGCGAGACATGTTCACTCCCGCAACATCAACTGTTCATCAAGTCGTCGAATGTCAAAGCACTACAGAATCAAGCCATGAATGTTTTCGATATACTGAAATGTCGAAGAATCGACTGCTGAAAAACATTTTAAGTCGCCAAGTTTAAACATAATAGCTCAAGCACACTGTAATAGGTTGGACAGAGGCAAAATCGGAAGGTACAAAACATAACTCAAACCCTGCGCAACATAATTAGTTTAATTTTCTATCAATTATTTAGACGTTGGCTACATGCAGTCAATCATTCGACGGTCCCGTCCATTGACGAGGGGAAATCCAGGGTTTCAGTGCATACCACACGATTAGAACACAAAACATGACGTAATTAAATCAACTTTTGAACTGCTAACACTTTTATAAAATGTAGTAATGAGAATTATAAAGAATAATATAATATTGCGTTTTTAAGGTATTTGATTTTATAGACTATTACTGCATGTTCTAAAAGAGAGGTGACATATACCACGGGAATATTCAAACTCATAAGTCAAAGACAAACTGACATGGTCATAGCAAAAACAAAAAACAAAAACAAACAAAAAAAACAACAAAAAACTACAAAAAGACAAAATACAACACAGAAAAGTAAAGACTGAGCAACATGGAACCTAGCAAAACGGGGATAATTGCAGGTGCTCCGGAAGGTTAAGTAGATCCTGTTACACATGTGGCACCGGTAGTGTTGTTCATGTAACATTGTGTAAGTTGTTGTAATTGTAATGCAATTAGTTTTCAATAAATTACAAGAAAAACCCTAGTCCTAACTAAATTTATGTCTATATATACATGTATCTACATAATTCTTATGAGGTATGTGACTTAAACATATCTTGTTTTATTTCATTGCCTTAATGTTTATTGCAACTATTTGTCTCTCTGTGGCAAGATTAAAAGCATTCGAGGTAAAAACGTAGGAAAAGAAAATTATAAATATATAACGTACTGTAAAAAGTACCTAATCAACATGTGGTACATCAGTAAAAAAGCATGTTTAAAGTAAAAGATCAAAGAATGTCAAAAGAATCTTGACATGTATCTTCGATATTAAAAGAAAAATCTACGAGCTATTCATATTCAATATTACCGGACTCACTAATCATTATAGGTTATAGAAAATTATCTGCATTTGACCAAGGTTTTTGATATCTGATGAATTTATGTGACGCTGCTTTTTTTAAACTGTTAACACCTGAATAAGTGATGCGTAGCTTTTCTGTGGTAATAGTTGATGTTTATACTTTAATTTAAAGAAAAACAAGCAGAAATGCATTCATCAAGTTTTGAATAAGCATCTGAAATAAATAATGTTTGATACAATTTTTAAAAATTTAAAGACAGATATCGTTTTTATTGCCTCTATGTACATACCATTGCATTGGTTTCTAACTTTATGTATGTTCCACTGTCATGTAACTCAGTGATAAATAACTCATCATTATGCAATTTTAAATTGTATCTAAACATATTTCATAACACTTATTTATTGTCAAAATTTATTTTGTAATCCAACAAGGATATACAGAAGGAAACGTGCATTTTCTGCAAAATTTGTAAATCATATAATCGAACTATAACCATGAAAAGACCTATAGCTGCAAAACATTATACTTCAGTTTACATATTGTCTCGATGTACATTCCATTGCATTAGTTTCTTCCTTTATGTGTGCCATTGTCATGCATCGCAGTGATAAATTTCTCATCATTATGAACTTTTAAATTGCATCTTGACATCTTACATAACACTTATTTATTTTTAAAATTTATTTTGTATTCCAACAAGGATCCATAAAAAACGTGCATTTTCTGATCATTAAAATTTGTTAATCATGTAACGGAACATTAACCATGAAAAGACCTATAGCCGCAAAGCAGGATACTTCAGTTTATATTTGTTGTCGTTTATATTTTCCTTGTGTCATAGTCATGTATAAAAGCTGGAAAATTGATTAATATTCAAAGACTCCAATACACTGACGTAATTTCCTATGTAAGTATATTTTTAGTCATATGAAGTGTAAAACTGAATGCAAGTTTTAATCGATATAAAATAATGTAATCTAGCGCATTTTAAAGCAAGAAACAATTACGCGCTTCATGCAAAATGTAGAACGACACTTAAAATACACCTGTGACGTAAATCTTTTGTTCAAACTCTCCATTATTTTTCAGGAATGGAGAGTTATCTTATATTGTTAATCTTCATTCATTCGAACGTTTTGCCCTTTGGATATTTCCATGGACACTTTCTTAAAAAGTGTTCACACATGGGAATAATTCTAAAGGACGTAACGCGATATTGAATGAAGATGAAAACTTGCTAAAATGACTGATACTGGATTTTTTAAAATTGGGATCGTATAAATACAATGAACACTAAATATCTCATTATTAAAAAACAGCTTTATTTGCGAGTCGCAATTCCATCGTGTAAAATATAGTATCGCATTTACTAATATCAACAATATAATCCACAATTTGCTTTCCGATGCAAATCTTGGCTGAATGTTTGTAACGGATAGTGGATAAAAACGAATATTTTCCATTGAGTCCCATTCCTCTTCTGCGCATCTACAAAATATCAAATGTGTTAACTGTGTGTGAGTCAGTGAATTCTATTGTAATATTGAACACATTAATATTATTCGATAATGAAAGTAAGAGAAAAATATAGTTCACATAAAGATTTGATTTTAATTTTACCGTTTAAGATATCATTTCCTTGAAATATTTTGATTTTATACATCAAAAATAGTTTGTTGCATTTTTATATATATAATTAAAAACACAAAAAATAATCGGATAGTATCTACAATAATATTGTTGTTCAGTAGAATAAGTAGTCCAAGAAACTGAAATGGTCAAAATGGCAAATTCGGTATTCTATTTGATTGTTCGTTGTTATAATTTAAATATAGTACTAATGAGTAAAATTAGAGGGGTATGGAAAACATTTAAATAAGGCTTGTGTTAAATATTGGGCGGGTTTTTTATTTAATTTTCAAAAGAAACACGTAACATAATCGAATTAATTCACTGTTGTTATATGTCCAGTGGCAAATATAACAGTTATATCGGCAGTGCAAATAAACGGCGTTAATCTTGAAATAAATGTTTAAATGAAATTAAAAGTAAGTTTTCCACTTATGTTAAATACATACAAAACGGAATCCAGAAATGTTTTTAAACATTTTTGTTTCTAAAACTTTTTTGCTTCCTTTCTGATAAAAGGGAAGAATGCAAAATACTTTCAGTTTGCTTGTATTGCTATTTACAAAAACAATGTATAAGAGTTTTGTTCGTTGTAATTAGCAAAAGGAAAGACAAAATGTTGGGTTGTGTATGAAATACTGTTTTCTTGTTTCATTGTATCTCATCGAATAAAATGGTTTGTAATATAGAATAGCATTTTGTTTTCGATATGACTTAAAATCGAGCACACCGTTATTAGTTAAATAACCTATACTAGAGTGTTACATACCTGAAAATTCATTCTAGTTGTACCATTTCATTTTTCTCAGACGATTCTACATCCAATATTTATCAAACGAAAAACACACATAATCCATTAACATATATGCATAAATACTAATTTTTTTACTCTCCCGAAATACCACTTAAAGACACAAATAAATATCCTTTAAATCCCACTACAAGAAAGACGTGCGAATCAAATGACTTTAAACATAAATCTGAAAAAATTTTATTCAAGATCTTTTTATAGTTATTATTCTACTGTTCATAAATATTTCGTTAAGTGAGTAGATGGTCAGGTTGATCTTAAATTTTGACTGCGGATTCTTGGGTACAGGACGGGGAAAATGAAAAGAAAACCATTACAAAATTAAATAAGATTCTTTTTAATATTATAATTTGAAGATTCGTTTTTAATATTTAAGGTGTATTTTAAGTTAGCGAAAGTCCAAATAACTGTCCATTCCTGGGAAATAATGGGCGTCGGCCCTCCGGGACTCCGCTCCATTATTTCCCAGGAATGGACAGTTATTTGGACTTTCTCTATAACTAGCATACCTAATTTATTTATTATAAACATGGATTGACATTTTATTTTTAACATGATGATAAATTGTCATTTGTTTTCATTGATTTCACCTTGCATTGATTTGCTTTCAGTTGTGATGTTAGAGGCACATCCGTCCTAGTAGAGATTTACAATAAGTGTATGACTCTGACACCATCTGACTACGAATCATAAGAAGTCAAGTTAAAATATTGTTATATTTTATCATGTTTATCCTATCCTCCAAGCTTAAGACTATAAAACTGAGTAGATGTGGTATGATTACCAATGAGACTATCCATCAGATTCAAAATGAAGGGGTAGCAAGCAATTATAGGCCACCGTACGGCATTCAACATTCAAAAACCCTTTACCGTATAGTCGTCTATTAAAGGCCATCGACATGAAAAGGTGAAACAATTCACATGAGAAAACTAGCGGTCTAACTCATAACAAAATAATTTACGAAAAACAATATGCAAACACGAGCCAACGACAACCACTGTACTACATGCTCTGACTTGTGACATGCACATAAAAAATGTGACAATACTATACACAGTGAAATAAAAAATCAAAACAGAAATAAGATTAAAAAAACCTAACCTATTCATATGTTTTTCCAATCAGCTTTAAATAATTCGTCAGTTGTGAAAGGGCCAATTAACCTAAAAAGTTTCTTTTTAAATGTTAACGAATAAAACTTATCAGATACATTAAACATGTTAAATAGGAGCAACACATTGTTGTTGTGAAAGTATTGTTAAAATTCAGAAAATATCAATTAGCGAGTGTAAACGAAAAGGCTCTTATCTACTCTTCTGTATAACAAAAAAATAAAAAAAAAATAAAATAAATTAAAATCGATCCATTTGATAAATGTTTTTTTTCCGAAAGAAACGCGAAGATGGGGCACGGTAAAATTCATTTGCCTACACATTATTTTGACTGTGCATAACATTTGCACAATGCAAGATCGCCCCTATAGCTTACCTGTATGATTTATTGATTTATTCCTACTCGTACTTAGAATTCGACGGTTATGTAAATTTCTACTAATGACATCTGTACGATATGAAAGTCTGATGCACGAAACAATGTGATACATTTTTATCACTTGCTGTAACAGAAAGTACATTTACAGTTAATGATGAAGCACTTATGACATGTACCTGTTTGATTATAAGGTGGTCCGCTTGCACAGGTATCGGAAAAAAGTATAACAAAAATACCGAACACCAAGACATTGACACTTAACAAAATGCTTACGATAAATAAAAACATAACTACCTTTTTGAAATATCGCTAATTGGTAGTCGTCAGCCATATTTAACAACTTACCTTACTTACCTGTACCAATGTTCAATGTATCTTTCAATAAAAAACATGTAAAATCAGTCCTGACTAAAAGCAGTGGAATGAATCTGACAAAAACAGTAACTTTTTTTTATTTTGCATTAGTATTCAAATGATCGTTTGAGGAATTTGCTCTCATGGAATTCAGTTAATTTATAAACTCAAAACAATATGTAAATTAGATGATATGGATATTCTAAGAATAATGCAAATTGAACTTCAAATGAAAAAAAAAGAAGAAATTAAGACATACGTTAACCAGGGACAAAACATATATAGTCCCGACAACCTGTGTGAACCCATAATAAAGAATAAGGATAATTTGATTGTACCCATACGAATCTCTTACAATTGCTGTTTACAGTCGTCTCCCATTGTCATTTTAAACAGTTATTCCCTTCGTTTTATATAACGACATATCATCGCAAAAATATTCACAAATGTTATTATTTGTTGTAGAGAACCAACAAGAAGAATGAAGGTTCCTGTTTGTTTAGTCGTCTCTCTGTTGTTTGTGCTCGTGGGAGGTAAGCAAAAATGTGAATCTCTTTAGAATTGAACGTTTGATTGTAATTTGCCGATTTGTTTTTTTTTTCTTTTTCGTCTCGGAACGATCTTTGTGTTCAGTTACAAAAGAAATGCTTGTATTTCCATTTTCAATTTTATTGCATATGCATGTCTGATGAAATTCATTTATTATTCTACTGACAGGAATACAGTTTCTGTATTGACAAATTTTTGCCTGTCTTGGTGTCACCATTGAACTCTGTACCGTTTTTCTCCAAATATGTAAGTGTAAGCTACTTTATAAATTTTGAGTTTTTGTAAGTATCGTCAATTCGAATATAAACCATTTTCAATCAGAATGAATGCGATAATTTGTAATACATAAACGAGACAGCAATCAAGCCAAACAATAAGACCAGATAAACATGAAGTGTTTAATATTAGTATATATGTTAATACCAATTATGTTAAATTTATCTCATCTTTGTAAGCAGTAGAACATTTTTAAGGAATAAAATACTTGCAACCGTACGCGTTACTATTTTATTGATCAGTCAGCGATCTGTCAAGTTCATGTCAAGCTCACGTCACGAATCAGTCAGTCTTTTACTAATCGGACTGATCTGACGGATTGACCTTTTTGACTGATTGAACTCTTCTACGTCACATGTTTAACTTTCACGAAATTTTCGTTTCATTTACTTCAGATAACGCAACGGAAAAATACAAATCGTTTAAGTGCCGAAGACTGACATTTCATTTTATTCATTCAGCAAAAATTCTCAATTCATAGTTTAACGTTTGATAGAAGAGAGGTGAAATGTGTAGATAACATCTTAATTTAAACTTCTTAAAGAATTGCGATTGCCTAAATGCAAAAGCATTTTTTTTTTTTGAGTGTATGAAACGGTGTTTATCGCCATTAGAAAATTCTAATAAAATATTCTAATATCATCTAAGAATCAATTGCTGCCAATTTCGACGAATAAATTCCAATAATATAAAGTATGGACATCCTTAAAAATATTCAAACAACATATAAGGTGGATTATATTCATTATATTTTACGGAGAACAACGTATCCCAATGTACAGAAATAGTTATATCCCAAGAGAGGAGAAAGATTCGAAAGAATATTTTGTTTGAATCAGAGTGATTTGTTTTAAAAAGTACGTTATTCCTCCCTAAGACAAGATCCTACTTTGGTCATTACTTTTTATGAAACAAAGTAGGACCAACTCTTTCAATACGTCTTTTTTGTTTGGAATGGGGAATACATGTGTAAAGTGAAGAAAAGTCAAATGTTTTAATACTTTTGCAAGATGAAAGAATCTTAGATTGTATGATCTCTAAAGGATATTTGGGTTTTTTTAGTATCCACATCTGAATCACGCCGCCTCTAGAATAGGTAGTTGACGATTAATGATTTCCATTTAACTAAGGACATAATTGTGCTTTGATTCAACACACACAAACTCACCAGAATGCATTTAAAACGACTAACTGCAGTGCATTATTTCTATTCATTTTTTTCTCTGATTCATGTTTTATCAGGTTCATGAAAAACACCTTATCCTGAAGTTAAAAAAGTACCACAAAAAACCAATGACGATAGAGGATTTTCTCTAGAATGGAGAAGTAATAACACTCTTATTTAACACAAACGAAGCTTGAAGTATCTTTACACTTGTATTATTTTTCATATTACGAAAACTAACTCATCTAGTGACATTACAATGTATGATTGTTTAAGACGGTACTGATTTCAGATGATAGCATTTTGTCGATATTGAGTGATGTAGAAATAATCTGTCATTATGCTGCAATTTTGTAACTTATTTAGCCAAAAAAGTAAAAGTACCAATAATGAAATATTAAGATAATATTTTAAAAGTAATTTATATATTTGCTTTGCATTTGTCCTTGCGACCAAGTTGAATACAGATTATCGGGTAAATGTCTGCGTTTATCGCATGTAGATATTGCAGAGTTATAATTTTAATTGTATATGTATCCGTCCCATCCTTACTTACAGTTATTTGACTGATCGATCGTAGACGGTTGTCACGGTAACACACAAATAGAATTCGGTCTGAAGTCAAATAACCTTCATTGTATCGATCATCTATCATTTAAGGACCTTTCTTGTTCGTGTCACCAATCTTTAACCGATTACGTCAAACAGTAACTTATTTAACAGGTTTTATTAAACTTTCCTTTTAAGTACCGTTGCAAGCTCATTGATCGCAATTACAAGAAGATGGTTCAGATATATAAAAAATGTAGCAACGCCATATTTTCATGCGTCTGTCCTTCGTCAGGAGCTTGCAGGAATTGCGGTAGTGTCATATCTAAATGTTTGTTTTCCCTGTTATTTTGAGAATTAAGTGTTGATGATAGGTTTGTGATTGTTTCCGTTAAATGTTAACACAACTTTTATAAACTATAGAAGGTTATTACTTTCACAAATTAGGAAGACATTTGGCTATAGTTGAAGACTATGCTGAATGCTAGAGGTCATTTATGCACTTGTGTTGTTGTAACGATGTACTATAGACACATAACCAACATCTCCTTCTATGCATGTTACTTTTGTTATAACTTTTTATGTAAGGTAGTGTTGAAAGTTAAGTGGTATAAGAATGATTTGAGGAATGGAATGGGGACGATTCCTAATTACCTTCTAATTAAAAAAATTTTTAGAAAAGCGCATTCCATTAAAGATTTTGATTTAGAAAAAAAGTTAGTTGGAAGTTAAAATATCAGAAACATCATTTGGTCCTTTTAACAACGCAATTGACCTTAATAAACAAAGTAAAAACGATACTATTCTGAAACATAATATAAGTTATACTTATAATATTGAGAGCTGGCAAACAATTACATATAACAAACGAACACACAAGCAAAATATATTTTGTTCATTATGAATTACTGTTAAAACTGTTTAGTTGTATGTGTATGTGCGTGCATGAATGGAGAGAAGACTACTGATTTGATTTTAAATTCGGGAACCATCAAAACTATAAAGTGCTACTTTAATTTTCTAACACATGGTTGGTACCCTAACTGAGTATCTGCTAGTCCCTGCGGGTAGTATCAACTCAGAAGTCAGTGCTTTAGTATTGACACGATTTATGAAATATATTTCTTTAATGCCTCGTTGATAAATTTTCAAACTTTAAGAACCTAAAGTACCAACATCGGCAGGATAGATTGACCTAATGACTATTTGGTTAGTTCTTTTTGGTCCCGTTTTTAATTACACAGCTCAACAAGTATTCAAGTTGTTGTTTTTATTTTTACATCATTAGCATTAATTTGGTTTAGATTTAATCGGTATTTATGAAGGATAATCCGAATAGCATGACAGTGTATTTCGCAACCTTTTCTTAACGGGGAAATGTCTACTAAATTTCGACATGCTCGTGGTGCATGAGAAAAATATATAACCTGCTCACGATATCTAATATAAACAGTATTTTATTTCCAGTCAACATGGCACATGTAGAAATGCTTGAAGACAAAGGCCTTATTCATATGTGAGTTGGCTCGTATAGTTTGATTATTCGACATGTTTGAGTGAGTCGAGTTTAGGTCTGAAACAGTCTGTTAATGGATGAACTAGTCATTTGAATACAGCAAATTTATTACAAACTATTACATATCAAAAGGATATGCACAATGGAAAAAAGCTGCACCCGTTTTAATAAAAGTAACAACATATTTCATAGTCACATTTAGTGTATTGTAGATTATAATAGCTGTCCTAACAATGCAAAAGTCATGACCAATCATAATTTTCTGCGAAAATAAATTTCAAACAAATAGATTCAGAAATGGCAAAACCAAAATGTATTGCGGGGATATTCCTTTTTACAGTAGAACGAATGTCATGACTCGAAGACAGAAAATGACCATACAAACCAAAACTCGAAGTATACCACAATGATAAAGAAAAGACCAAAGGGCAAACAGCATTCTTAACAAAAATTTCCATGGAGTAAAATAAACCCCATTACAAAGCAGAAATGTCGCCATTTTCGGACGCATTATTTTACTCAAACATGTCAAAGCCGCCAATTCTTTGCTCAAATATCCAAAAGAAACACATATCCATGTTGAATTTTTTGTTTGAGCTTTTTCTGAGGATCGAACCTAAAACACCATGAACACAAGGCGAGCACGAGATTTCGATGCGATTTTCCCATAATTTAAGTCTGTAGACTGATGTGCATTTTATTTAACCTTTGTTTGTTGTCACTTTGTCGTATATACTTGTTTGAAGTAAAGTAATTTCAACATTTGAGTATATCTCAATTGAATGAAGCAATAAAATAACGGAGACAATTCCGTTGATCTAGATTCATCGAAAAACCGGTAAAAGATCAGTTGCAAATCTAATGTCATAATAACTTCTACAATTTATATCATGATGAAATATATTTATGGCAAAATTGAAATGTTTGTGTGTGGTTGTATTGCAAGACAATGTTGAAAATCAAGAGTAAAAAGAGAAATTTAAACAGACGCGCTACCTATTCGAGGATTTTGAAATAACAATGTCTAAAATTGGAGATACACTATGGAAAGATAAATTAAATAATGTCTGTAGTGACTTTTTAGATTTTAACGAACGTTATATATGTTTTACTGTTAAAACATCAAGACAATGATTAAGTTACTGAATTACCCTGAACAAAATTCTCCAAAAATCCAAAGGTTTTGTTTATGAAGTTGTGCGACATAAATCTTAAACCAAATTTGATATCACGTGAAGATGCTTTTATTTAAAGCGGTCTTAATTACATAGTTTAAGAACTAATTTAGAATTTTTTTTTTATCCCATGTCAAAGGAGCTTCAAATGTACACTCTTGGTTGCAGTTTCTTATTAGAATACAAATGTAATCTATGCATGCTTTGTATAAATGGAAAATAATCTATTCAGCAATTTCATGAGAAACTTAAAACAATCAGCAAATTTATTCATTGGTACAAACATTTGGTTCAAAACTTTTG